CCATCAGTGATGCAGGCTTCTGAACGGAGCGTTGATAACAACTTGGGTTTGTATATGTCATCTAGAGTGAACTCTCATATGGTATGGACACTGTCTAATGAGTGTATGGACAATTTCCTCAACCTTATGACTTGAGGTGAATCTCATTTTCTCTCTTGGCTCTACATTTTGCAGACAAGGAGCATCCCAAAACATTTTGTGATGTAGGGGAAAGGTGTTAAGACTCCTCTTTCAAACATCTAAATATGATGGCATGTGCTCAGAAAGAAACATACACAAACAGTTCTCAGTTTTATATACCTTTTTCACAACAAATCCTGTAATTTCTACTTTGAATGACATCTGATATTACTGTCAATGTTCCTTAAAAAGGGTACATTGTCATGTTAACTAATTACACAGTATATATGGTATAGTGACGTGTGTTTACGTTAAAAGAATCAGTGACAGCAGATTCATTGGCTTCTTGAAAATGTGACTCATTTATTTGTGAAATGTTTTACCCACAACTAGGCCTGTCACGATAACAAATTTTGCTGGGTGATTAATTGTCTCAGAAATTATTGCGAAAAACGATAATATTGTTTGAAATTTGACAAAAATTAGTAATTGTCAAATTTAAGAAGAAATGTTGGTTTGTTTCTATGTAGTACCTTTTTTCGATCACTGGATGGCAGTATAAGACAGTTTGAACCGAAGGATGGATAGTGAGGGAGCGAATAGCGTGTCGCTAAGAAAAACGGGAGGGAGGACCCTTGACGTGACATGGGCTGTCTCTCGTTCCTGTTTTTTGGTTCTCAAAATGGCGGACACTCTGTGTGGTTTGAGTTCTTCAGCATAGCATTTTTCACATAAAGCTTTTAATAAAAACTCAGTAAACAAGTTCTCAGCTTCTTTTTGCAGAGAAAAACTTTTTACACAAAGGCAATTGCGCCGCTCAAGGTGGCTGCATGTTGGAGCAGCTCTGTTACTTTCATTCTGAGATTTTGCTTTTGGAAACATTAATTCCTCTTTTTCTGGATGTAAATCACATTTTTTGGATGATTGTTTCCTCTGGTATCGAATGCTGTGCAGCTGGAAGGATTTTTACTGAAACTTGTTTAGTTTTGGACATTTGTTATGATGCGTAACCATGGCAACAAGGCAGTTTCTACAACCAACAGAAGCTGATTAACATCTCAAAAGCTCAAGTAATATCTCAACTACAGCCCTAAATTTCAAATGAGTTGAAAAGGATGTTCTGTGGACGCATTTTCATCTACCTGCCAGCTGTGCTCGAGTCCCTGACCACTGAGATCCTGGAACTAGCAGGAAACACGGCTCATGACAGCGGAAGGACAGGATCGTCCATCAGCACCTACAGTTGGCTGTCCGCAGCGATGAGGAGCTCAACAAGCTGCTGGGAGGAGTGGCCATTGCCCTGGGAGGATTTCTGCCCAACATTCAGGTGATCCTGAAGCCCAGGAGGCCAACCAAGTGCAAGTAAACGGATCAACATCTGTGGCCAGTTTTTTCAGATCTGCTATAAGACGGACCATCACAAGAGATCCTTCCCACCCACAACCATCAACATCTAGAACAACTCTTTTATGAAACAATGAAAATGAGCTACAACAACATTTAATTTCCCTCTGGGATTAATAAAGTATTTTTGAATTGAATTGAACTGAATGGGTTTCAACTGTGAATTTTGGAGCTTCAACAAGACGGAGGTATTTTCCCGAGGTCGACCTGTTAGCTTAGCTTGTAGCTTAGCTTCTCAGCTGCTTTTAACTATCCAAAAACACGATTTTGGATCGTTAAAACAGATTTTAAAAAGAAAAGAGAAAGGTGAGGGGTCAGTGAAGAGCACCGGAGCTGAGCTTTTTGTCATCCAGTGTCTTCAGTAGAAAGACAGTAGAGAGACATGAAGAAACGATAAAGTCGATAAATGAAAATGAGGTCGATAATTTTCATTTATCATGCGATTAATTGATTGCCTACACACAACCCCTTGTAATTTCAAATAAGGGATTAGGGGAACACTCAAAGGTCTACTATCCACTGTGAGGTTTCACACTGTTGTGAAACCTTACACAGGTGTGTCTTTACTAATTATGTCTAATAAATTCAATCAGGCACTTAAAAGCATCTCAAGAGCCCCTGATAAAAGCAGCAAAACCAAAGCTAATTGATCATTAAAAAACAGACAACTAAGGGTTGGAACACTGAAATAAATGTGATATTTACTAACTTTGTTTATGATAAATACACAGATTTTACAAGTTTTGTGTGTCATTAGGTGCTCTGGACCACAAATATTTCACCGTTCTATTGGAGTTAGTTCCTCCTCTGTTTTCCTACCTGTCCACACTGCAGGAACTGCAGTCGATTGAGGTTCATTGAACTGTTTTTATTGGGTCTTTTAGCTCTCACTGCAGAGCAGAAATTTTCCAAGCATGAGAGGAGAACCGTTTATGATATATTTGTACAGTGATTGTGCAAAATGTCTTAACAGAACTATGATTGGCTGTAACAAATTGAATGGTTTTTGGTGCAGTGTATAGGGCCCTGTGGTTAGAGCAGTTGTTCTCCAATGAGTCGGAGGTTCAGTTCCACCAGTATACAGTCACATGTCGAAGTGTCCCTGGGAAAGACTTGAACCCCTTGTTGCCTCCAAAGTGTGCCTCATTGATGTAAGAATGTGACTCAAAGCACTGATTAGAGTCTAAAGAATGATTTATTCAGATTACCTTTGTAGAGTCGTAGTAGAGTGCTGTATGAATGTGTGTGCATGGGTAAATGAGCATTTTTCCAAAGTTGATTGAGGAAAAGTTACTTGTTTACATAAGTAATGCCATGGTTGTTAAATCCACTGTAGTTTCCATTCTAGATCACAAACTTGCGCTGTACGTTTTGTATTTTTGACGGCGAGCGCATGCGCACAGACACTTCAGTCTCAAGAGTATGAAACAGTTGCATTCTTAAAGGTGAATACACAAACGTGTTTGGACCGAGGACGAGGTTGTGTTGCTCCTACACATTAAGAAACGTGAGTAGCACAACCACTACTCTGCTATCAGCCACTGGTATTGATGTTCATCTACTTGTACAAGCACAGAAGAACTTGACTGCAGCCATCTGTAATGTGCATGTGCCTTTTCACAATGACGCAGGCCATTTTCAAAAACCTCCACTCTGAGACCTGGAAACAAAAGCTTCTGTTTCAGAGAAAACGATCTGTGTTGTTGTGTACACGAATGGTAAATGGACTGTATTTATATAGTGACTTTCTATCTTATGAAGACACTCAAAACGCTTTACACTACAATCTGTGTCCTCATTAACCCATTCATACAGCACTCTACTAAATCTATATAAAGCTATTTGAACAAATCATTCTAAAGAGACTAATCAGAGATTTATCACATTCATACACTGAAGGGACATATCGGAGGCAATGAGGGGTTCAGTGTCTTGCCCATGGACACTTCGGCATGTGACTGCTGGTGGATTCGAACCCCCAACTCTTGCATTGGAGGACGACTGCTCTAACCACTCAACACCAGCTGCCCAACAAAGAGCCAAATAGCAGCACAGTTTCCCTTAAAAGACGTGTAAACAGGGCCTACGTTTAATGCCAGGATACACCATTCATTCATTCAGTCAAACAGAAAAACACATATGTTTTAAATATGGTCATAAAAAAACTATTCTTACCATTAGCTGGGGTTGGACTGGAGTTAACTGATCATATATTTGGCTGAAAATTACAAGGTTATTTTCTTGTTTACCACGTATAATTGTTATGTCCCAATTAAGGGGGAATGGTGGCGCAGAGGTTAGAGAAGGTGGGCCTGTGATCGGAAGATTGCCGGTTCGCCCCGGTACCGACAACATCAAAAATGTGGGTGGGGTAGGTGCAGCACCCACACCTGCCCCCACCCTCATTCGCCCCACTCTGGGCCCATGAGCAAGACCCTTAACCCCCATCTGCTCCCTAAACAGGTCTCTCTTGAAAATGAGTTCTCGTGGCTCATTGAGACTACCTGGATAAATAAAGGCTAAATGAAAAAAAAAAAGATTGTGATGTAACAATTGCCATTTGTGGAAATTGTTCAACCTCTTGAAGGTGACTTGTCATTTTTTGTCTAAAACAGCCCCTAAAACTGTTCTCTTAAAACAGTGCATTGCTTAAATTGTGTATATTGTGTCTGAGAACTGTTTCAGTGCACTGTATGCTGTAGTACATGATCAGTCCAAAATGCAGAGAAACTGCTGATCAGAACCCAAAGTGTTGACCCAACAGGTCAAATTTGCAAGCAGGCGAACTGACAAGGGGGGAGGTGGATGGTGACACAAAGGAAGCTGGAATGCAATGGGTTAATCTGCTAAAAAGCCTTCTCCCATGTGAACAAAGGGGGTAAAGTCAGAGGTGGGGGCACACAAAGGGTAAGGAGAGGGAGAGGAGGAGGAAGGGAAAAGGGGGTCCATTCCCTAACCATCTGGATCTATTGTTTCAAAAATGGCGGTGAAGGTTGGAAAGCTGGAGGAGGGGAGAAAAAGGAGGGGTCATGGGGGGTCAAGCCCTCTAGTCTGGTCCACTCAAAGACTGATTCTCTTCCATGTCTTTTTCTTCACACCATCAAGGTACAATCCGTAAATTTTATACAGCAAAAGTACTTAATGTTCTGAATGTTTGTATGGGGAATTATTTAAAACTTTATCAGAGCTCTTTACGCTCAACACAGCTCAAACGATGCCACTTTTTACCCCCCATTACAGTAATTAATGTCATGTCAGGATAGACGCACAGCCCTATAAAAATGTTTATGTTCCAGGAGAGGGAAGCTTAAGAGATATACAGGAAAATCTGCTTATTCAGTAGAAAATACACGCCGACTCCCCACTTAAAAATAAATATATTAAATAAGGGAAGCAACTGCTGATTCAGGAGAAAGTGACAGCAATACTTACCACCACCAAGAATGAAGGAATCCAGGCGGTTCCCCTAACGTAATATTCTTCTCCCATCGAATCTAAAAAAGAAGAGAAGTCACTGACACCGATGCTTGCGTGCCTCTTTTTGCCGAGATGCCATCAAACGTTTACAATGTTCTCAAACAATGAAGAGTTGGTTCGTTTTAACCTCAAAACCATCACAGTGATAGGTAGTACAGATGGGCTGGCAGAGTCTGATTTTGACTACCTTGATTTTTTTCTTCAGTCATTCTGTTGTGCATTTGCTTCTCTGCTCAGGACCTTTGTCTTGTATTTTAGTCACGTTGGCTACAATTGAGCTACCAAACAAATGTCCTCACATCTACCTCTAAAATACTTTGTAAACAGATAAATTCAACAACTCAATTACTTCACAACAAGCCTAGCTCATCCGCCCTCCACCACCATGCTTAACAATTGATTTGAGGGGGTTATGCCCACATGGATAATTTGGCTTTTGCCAATTATGGCACAGATTTCATGACCAAACTTCTCCACTTTGTTCTTGTATGTCCAAGCAGCACTGGTCAACAGGGTTTGGAGTTTGTTCCTATTAAACTTTGCAAACCTAAGGATGTGTGCTTTTTAGAAACAAAAGGTTTCTCTTGGTAACTCTTCCAAACCAGTCATAATAATTTAGTCATAATTAGTGTACAATATATATACTACGCATTATGGAGAATACTTTTTACACAGCTTTAAAAGGAAGCTCCAACCCTTATGCATGATCTGTTAAATCAATGAATTTGATTTGCAGGATCTAGCTTGTACTTAACCTCTTTATTTGAAGGAAAGTAGTAAGGATGCACTTTGGATGAATGCTGTTTAACCCATCGTTTTACTTCAAAGCACTGCCCCTACATTTAGCACATTTACAAAGGAGAGGTGAGATTTCCTGATCCCTTTAAAGATGTAAAGGTAGGTGAACAGGGTAAGGTCATTTTGACACTTCAAACAGATTTTCCAGTCAAAAATTTCAAAGAAAAAGGGAAAGTACTCAAAGTAGCAATTCAGTTCAATTCAGTTTATTCATAAAGCACCAAGTCACAACAGAAGTCGTCTCGGAGCACTGAACAGAAACATTCATACACGTAAAAATAAGTTAACACTATTTATCTGAGGAGCAGACTGCTTTGAGTTTAACTTCTTTGCAGACTCTCATCTTGAGCGAGCACGAAGGCGACAGTGGAAAGGAAAACTCCCTCACAAGGAAGAAACCTTTAGCAGAACCAGGCTCAGGACAAGCGTCCATCTGCTTCGACTGGCTGGGTTTGAGAGGAACAGATACACAATGGCAGGTCCAGAATCACATGCTAAGATGTCCTGAAGTGAACGCTCCTTACCTGCAGGAGCTGAACCCCATTTTCTTCCAACAACATTATCAGGATTTGCATTTCAAATGTTTTGCGGTCGGGATTTCGTTAAAAATAATCTGAAAAAATGTTTAAACGTTTTCAGTGGGGAATGTGCAATTCAGACGTGCGTTACCCTGAGCGTTTAGTGGGTGCAATACAGTTTATTCCATTTACAAAACTTAAAACGGTCTGGAAAAATGTAAAAAGTGGATAAAGGCCGGCGGCCGACCTCATGATCAGCTGAATGCAACAGTGATAAACGGGAACTATCTCATGTTCGTTGGTGCGAAGATAAACGCAAGTAAATCTTCCATTTTTGTCACAATTACATTGTATGTTTTATGGTTAAATTAAAGGTTAATGCTTAACATCAGTTGTGCTTTGTTTGGTGTGTTTTGTATGTGGATATATGTTGCAACTTCTGGTTGCACAAGTTTAGTCTTTGTTATGATCAGTTCAAACTAAACTGAATTTACACAAAGCATTTAACAGGTTGTGTAATGTAAAGTTTACACTCTTTGTTCATCCTAAATTTCCCTGTAAATTCTTGCCAGTGTTGCTCTGCGGCATGGTAACATCTACCGCAGTAACTATTTGAAGTTATTAGTAGCTTTGAACATTTTTTTGCCTGTCTTCTTTGCCTTAATGTTGGCTGATGAGGCAGAAATGCCTCACTAAATGCCTCAGGTAACGCTGTGAGCTTCACTACCTCCACCATTACAGTCATCTTGTTTGCTTGTTTGTTGGAGGTTAGCTCACCCTGGGTTACATCGCCATGTGGGTGGAGTGATCTTACAGTTCATGTCATGTCGATTGTAAAAACCTCTTAAATTAAAGTGTTCTTCTATGTGTGTTGTTTTTTTAGAGGGCAAAACTCATTGTGTCTTTTGCATTTCCTTGTGTATTACATTTGGTATCAGTGTCAAGCTCTCTCAACAAACATAAAAATAAAATTGTTTGTCCAAATTTGTTGCAAGCTGGATCTCGAGATATACTGTACATAGCCCAAATGGGCACAGTGATATAGCATTTTTTTTTAATGTAAAAGGAATCAGAAACAGCAGAAGATGTTTCAGTATTTCAAGGGGTATTCTATTTTTTGCAGTGAAATATTTAATCATTTTTCTTTGAGAGTTCAAACTGGGGGCTGAAAGATAAGGACATATGAGGCTGAGAAGAGGTAAAACTAGGAAACAAGATTCAGCCGAAGCAGTTTCTTACACATTCTTTGCTAGGCTAACGGTAATTTATTCAATTCAATGTATTTATAAAGCGCCAAGTCACAACAGAAGTCGTCTCAGGGCACTGAACAGAAACATTCATATATATAAATAATAATTTAACATTATTTATCTGAGGAGCAGACTGCTTTGAGTTCAACTCCATAACAGAACTCACATCTTGAGCATGAAGGCGACAGTGGAAAGAAAAAACTCCCTCACGAGGAAGAAACCTTCAGCAGAACCAGACTCAGGACAAGAGGCCATCTGCTTCAACCGGATGTTTGAGAGGAACAGATACACAATGGCAGGTCAAGAATCACGTTAAGATATAAATATATCAAATTAAACTATTTAATTTGAACAATTCATTTAAGAAAATGAGGTCAATTTGTTCTCTAGTACTCTAATCTTAAGGCAGCACAACATGCCGACCCTAACTATAGGATTTATCAAAAAGGAAAGTCTTAATCCCAGTCTTTAAACTGGACAACGAGTCAGCCTCATGGGCAGAAACTGGAAGTTGGTTCCACAAGAGAGGAGCCTGACAACTGAAAGATCTTCCTCCCATTCTGCATTTGGAAACTATCGGAACCGCAAGTAAGCCTGCAGTCTGAGAGTGAAGCGCTCTGTTAGGAAAATATGGAACAATAAGAACAGAAATGACACATTGTGATGTGTTCTGTATTTAGCTAAGTTTAAGAGGTTGTAGAAAACATTATATTTATTTTACTCTAATATGTAAAGCTTTACTCTCAAAATTAGGTGTACTTACATTTTACCAAGCATGTACAGGTAATAAAAGATCAGGGACGAGTACTTGTGCATTGAGAACTTACGGGCCATTTGTCAGGTAAAGTTCACCAAGAGCTGGTTGGAGGTAAAACACCGGTAGTTGCCCTGAGACAACTTCTGTTGTGACTTGGCGCTATATAAATAAACTGAATTGAATTGATTTTCACAGAACGACTCCACAACTGAAGGTCTGAACATTTGGTCTGAACTCGTTTCTTTAAAACCATTCTGAGTTATGAATAGCATCTTACCTCTGACAGGAAAGTCTGTGCGGACTTCTGTGCTCCCACATGTAGCAGGTACTCGTACACATATAACGCTAACCTGGGAAAAAAGAAAAACTGTGTTAGACAAGCAGAGCCATCCGACTTCCTGCTGCTTCTATTTAATTTTTCCACAAATTTAAATAGATTTTATGTACGCATGAGATTGTGATAATGTATAAATGTAGCAGGCCTTCAACTTAAACTTTGTAAGTGGGATAAAAACATCCATCCATCATCTTTTACCCACTTCTTCCATTTTGGGTCACGGGGGGTCGCCGGTGCCCATGTCCAGCAATCATTGTGCGAGGGGCGGGGTACACCCTGGACAGGTCGCAAGTCCATCACAGGGACACATAGAGACAAAGGAGACAAACAACCATTCACTCTCTCACTCACACCTAGGGACAATTTAAAGTTACCAATCAGCCTAACCTGCATGTTTTTGGTCTGTGGGAGGAAACCTACGTATGCACGGAGAGAACATGCAAATTCCACCCAGAAAGACGCCCGGACCGGGATTTGAACCAGGGACCTGCTCGCTTAGAGGCAGCAGCTCTACCTGTTGCACCACCATGCTGCCCGGGATAAATTCAAGATTTAAAAAAATAATTTTGTGCAAATGTCTTTAGCCACCCTAGCTGTCTTTGAAATGTTGCTAACAACAAGCACAACGGTCTTATAAATACTTTAAATTATTTTTGAACAAAAGTTTTCTAAAAGTTAACATTTATTAGTGATGCACCGATAAATCGGCCGGCCAATTTATCGGCCCTGATTTCCTTAATTTTGGAAAATTGGCCGATACTTACACGAGAAACCGATTTTACCGATTTTTTTAGTTTTAACAACAATTGTCTGAACTTCATTTATATTTCAGAGCACTACCTCATGGCCAGTTAAAACAAGTTTGTATCGTTTCTAGGATATTGTTCAAGGGTATGTTTTCAATAAAATAAGGACACTGGAAAATTGAAGGTGCATTGTGACCTTATAACACCTGACAGTGTCGCTTATAAATCAAAATCGGAATCGGCAGGTCAGACTTTTTAGAAATTGGTGATCGGCCAGAAAACTGCAATTGGTGCACCCTTAACATTTATTTCAATAATTTGTTGAAAATTGGCCATTTAAAGTTTGTACCCTGAAGCCCCGCGACAAGTGAAAAACCACAAAGTAGGAATAGTAGTACAAGTAGTCAACATATATATATATATATATATATATGTATATGTATATATGTATATGTATATATATATGTATATATGTATATGTATATATGTATATATGTATATATGTATATGTATATATGTATATGTATATATGTATATATGTATATGTATATATATATATACATATACATATATACATATATATATATACATATATATATATGTATATATATGTATATATATGTATATATATATATATATATAAAGGCATTTTAAACACTTCCCATGGTCTTGCAATATTCTAAACAATGTTTCTAAACACTCTAAAAGAGCACAGCATGTCATGATTTCAGCTCTCTGCCACAGCTGCACTCAGAACTCTTGGCCACGCCCACTTTTCTGCTGCAGAACGGAGATCGACAGAGAAGGAAGGAGGAGCTGCAGGAGGAAGTTTCTCCAGCAGCTCTGGGCTTCACAAACGTGCAGTAGGTGCTAAATATATATATATATATATATACATATATATATACATACATTTTAAATAAAAATTCCATGTCGATCATGCTCATCCATCAATCAACCAATTGTGTGTCATGTCCAATCTTATTCTGAAAAACCGCGATAAGAGCGAGTCTGTGAAAAATGAACCGCGAAGTAGCGAAGGACCACTGTATTCCACTAGTGGTGTTTAAAGAAGCAACTACACGTCTTGGGAATGATCAAGGTTATTTTTATTTTTTAACATAATTTTCACATTCAATTTAATAATGTTGAATAGATTGTAAAAATAAAAATTTAAATAATTTTAACTATACAGCCCAGACGGGACACTTCCTGTTAAATGACTCCTCATCTAATTATTGAAAGCAAGTTAGGAGACCTTTGCAACTTGGACGATGCATTGTGGGTGCTATAAAATTTTAAGTGGAAAGAAGCAGAAATAATGATCGTCTGAATGACGAGGCAAACATTTTCTGTGCTTGGAAGCCATTTGGTTGGACAGTAGTAAACTAAGGTACATTAGGTATTTGTGTTGTCAAGACGTCTCCGCTCTAAAACTTGAAAACATCAGAACCATTTTATTGGACTTTTACCAATAAATGCAAACGTTAAATTCAAGCTGCTGTTAAATGAAGTCACACAATACTGATAAAGCCACTCAGCGTACTGTATGATAGTTTGTTGCTGTGATTACTGGCACGCTGCGCCAGAGTCTCTGCAGAGATGAATTTTACCGGAGCTCAGCAGTCATGGTTGCTCTCCATTAGTAAATAATAAGAATGTATGGACAATAATTTACCAAGTATTACACTCTTTTGTAATTAAACTGTAAGTGAAGGTAAACAAGAGCTCTGTTTAATTGATCCATTAAAAAAAACTTCTGAAATCCAAGGTTTTTGATGGTCTATACATCTTCATCACTGCTCTGTGCTGATATTTATTGCAAAGTGTTTGTCAGACACTTTGCAATAAATAAGTATTATTTATCCAACAAGGTTAAGGCAGGTGAGGTCCTCTGGACAAATTCTTGTTGATACATTTCATCTTTTATCCAAAAGATGAAATGTATCAACAACAGTGTTTCCTCTAGATTAATGGTTGGGGAAACGGTGAACATGAAGAATTTGTCCAGAGGACCCGACTTAACCTTGTTAGATTCATCTACCTGGATTATTGAGCATGCATCAGGATAAGTATTACTCATCTAAATTTATAAAAACGAACTCGAAATAATTTAAAACACAATAAAAAATTTGAAAAGCACCAAAAACCAAAAAAAAAAGCACACGTTTATGATCATCTGATTTGTTAATGTTCTGAAAATTGAAAAACATTTGCAGTTTGACCCCTTTTCTGAATTTTATGCAACAATCAAGTTTTTTAAGATTTTTTTTTTTCATCAATTTAAACGATATCTTAAAAGCCCTCAATTATTCTATTTACATAAAGGCCAACAACACTTAAAAATGTAAAGTCACCAGTCTACTGACAGACAGAAGAACCATGCTGTTGAGAAGGAAAGCCCCATTGGCCAAACACAGTACTCAGAACTCCTCCACTTAGTCATGTTTAATAGGCTGTTAATGGACCATCAATCGACCCGCCGCATGGATATGACAGTGCCCTGTGCGCTCCGAGCAAACACTCCTCTGACAGACCAATAAGGTCCTAATGAGAAGGACAGTAGCTCAGTGTCACAGCTCCAATCATTAGTCAATGAACTGATCAATGAAACATGGTTTTGAGATAATCAAGCTGTTGTGCTCTTTTCTTCGACAGCTCTCTGGTTTTTATTTTATCATGTCACATATGAACACTGAGATTAACATCTACAGTATTTAAACAGATCTTCCACACTTATGTTTGTTAGGATGAAACCTTGTAAAGAAGTTCATAATATCTGGAAAAATAAGAAATACACTTCAATGACAGATCTGTAAATACTCAGATTATCTACAAAACGTCTGCACCAGCTCCTTAAAGCAATATTTCTGAAGGGCAATGACTTTGGAAAAATTCAAAGAGTTCGTAAAATATAAAAATCTGGAGCATTAATACAACAGGATTTTTTTTTCCTACTGGCACCTAGTAGCAACACATTGTTAATACTACCATGACGTTGCAATAATGCGCCAAGTTGTTTCCTAACCGCTACAGTGCTATTGGCAACAACATTAAGTGATTCTGTCTCCAGCAAAAGGATTACAAAGTGGAAACTACAGTCGAGGGTGAGCTACAACTTTACGACCAGAATATGTTACTTTTCCACGCTGACCCAGTATCCCCAGCTAACAAACTTAGCACTAGCATACGTCTGTGTATCCAAAACCCCTGTTCTATCAGAGAGCTTTCCAGTGGGAGCACTTGTTGTAAGAACACTACATTCAGCACAAGTCTTCATCTCGTGGATCAATGGTTAGAACAGTCATTCTCCAATGTGAGAGCCGGAAGTTTTATTTTTTGGCAGTATGCAGTCAAACGTCTAAGTGTCCCTTGGCAAGACAACAAGCCCATCATTGCGTCTGATGTGTCCCATCGGTGTATGAATGCAATCTAAAGCACCGACTAGACTTCAGAGAATGATTTATTCAGATTAGCTTTGCAGAGCTGAAGTAGAGTGCAGTATAAATGTGTCTAGATGGAGGAGACCAAAAAATATGTTCTGCTCTTTGAGTAGCATTGTTGGCTAGGAAGAGGCTATTTAGGTACAGCTTACCATCTCAGCCTTGTGAAAGTTGTTGTTTTTCTTTAGGCAAAAGCATAAACAGTCATCGTTAGTGCTTGTTCTATCAATTCCTGTTAGAATGAACTATTGACGACATAAATATATTAGATCTCGAGTCCCCTCTTCTTCCATTGTTGAGAAATAAAGCCACGTGATCCCGTTTTAAGGGCGCTGCCATGTTGTATTTTTGGAACCAGAGTCTGTGCACTTGGACTGTGACGCTTTAGGTCCCGCCTACTCACAGTCATGTTGTTCTATGACCTTTCTCTCATGCATGAAACAACAGATAGCTATAAAGAGAGAAAAGTAGATAACATATAATTGACAGGGGATTATTTCAGTTTTCTTTATTTTCCTTTTTTAAACATTCTGTTGAATATGTAGACAGAATAAATCGGCAGTAGAAAAAGGAAACCATACCCAGTTGTTTTAAGTCTCCCTGCCAGTTGACAAATTTGACAAACACGTGGCATCTGAGCATCATAGAATAATCCATCAGTGTCAGTCAACTTTGACAGCGTGTAAAATAGTTTATTTTGATTTGATTGATTGATACCATACTTGGCTCGTCAATTCTGATGATGCACGTTATTTCAGACAACACTGCCCTTGGATCATTTGAATCTACAGCTGTCCTGGCGCAATGGGCTGTGGTTTTCCAAG